CCTTGGTATATGCTGTGTCCCTGACACCTGAAACCCCAGCTTGAATTATACCTTCTCTCTCTCTCTCTTTCTCTCTCTCTCTCTCTCTCTCTCTCTCTCTCTCTTTGATCTTTATTCATTTTTGAGAGGGAGAGAGACAGAGAGCAAGCAGAGGAGGGACAATGGATTCCGGCTCCTGTGTTGCCGTATCATGATGGACCAGTGACTAGCCCTGGCTGAGCCTCTGTTTCCTTATCTACAAGCGAGGTGTGAACGTGTCCCTTGCTGCCTGACCCAGCACGCTCGGCACGCTGAGTGTCCACCTCTTTCCTTTCTCGTAACTCATTCTGGGCTTTCCGGAAGGGCCTCTCGACGTCGGCACTGTCGCCAGTGGGGCTGGGTCGCTCTTTGTTGTGTGTGTACAGGCAGGGGGCCGTCCTGCGTGCCATAGGGTGTTCGCGTCCCTGGCCTTTACCCACTAGATGCCGGTAGTGCCTTCCCCTCCATTCATGTCGACTCCAAATGTCCCCTGAAGGGGCGGGGGGGAGGTGGTGAACACCTGCCCCTTAAGAGCCACTGCACTGGGGGAAAGACTAGGAAGGATAAGGACAGTTACTAAGAACCTTCCCTTGACTTCAGATGGAGCTAGACCAAAGGCTAGTAAACCTTGTCTGGGAAGACCTAGACGGTCAGTAACTCAGCTGTGTGGGTCCCACGCCGTCTGTCTCAGCTGCTCAGCTCTGCCCTTGAAGCATCAAAGCAGCCCTAGACAATGCCTAAACAATCGGGCATGGCCAGTTCTAATAAAACTTATCTGTGGACATTGAAATGTGGATTTAATAGAATTTTTACGTGTCATGAAATAGTCTCCTTTTTAAAAAAGAGAAAAAGTCATTTAGAAACGTAAAACCATTCTTAGCTCACAGGCAGTAGGCTGGATTTGGCCCACAGGCTGTAGCTTGCAACCCCTGAGCTAGATGTCCATACTATAGATATTTCCCACTAGGTGCTCCGGCGGCCCGGC